CATATACACAATGGAATACTACGCAGCAGAAAGAAAAAAAAGAAGTACTAAACTTTGCGATAGCATGGATGGAACTGGAGAGCATCATGCTAAGCGAAATAAGCCAGGGGCCGAAAGACAAATACCATATAATCTCACCTATAAGCGGAACCTAACCAACAATGCAAAGATGCAAGGAAAATATGACCAGCAACACTGAAAGGAAAAGAAATCAACAGAGATAAGAGGGAAGGGGGGGGCAGGGAAAGGGAAGGGAAGGGGAAAGTCAAGGAACATAGAGCAAGGACTCATGGACAAAACCAAAGGGGAAGAGCTGAGGGAGGGAAGGTGGGAGGGGGCAAGGGAAAGAGGTTGGGGGGAGGCAGAGACAAATGTATTTAAAAAGTAAATAAATTAAAAAAAAAAGAACAGCTAGAGCCCTCAGTATGATAATATTTTGGTCTTTTACCATCATAAGAAAATTCTGCTCCTGTGTCTTGTCTAAATAATGACTGGAAGCCAGCTGGAGGAGAGGCCAGCAGTCATGAAAAACTTGCGTAGGCTAGAAGTCAGGAGCAAGAAAAAAGCCATTTGGCTTCACCTATAGACACCAAGGAAAGCAAGTGTTTAGCAGAACGTAGCTTTCAGTAATTAAATGGAACAAGTACTTACTTTGTATTCAGTAGTTCAGACTTCCTAAAATTCATTTTACCCGGGATGCTATGTTGCTCATAAGATAAAAATTACCAAGATATCCAAAGCCATCCATATCCTGATCCAACTTGGTTCTCCATCTCATCTTGTGTGTACCACACTTCAACTTTTACATTCTAAAAACTCGGAATTGTGTATTTTCCAACACATGCAAGAAAATGTGCTATGCCTCTTTTCCGTTGCACTTTCTATTTCCTCTGTCTAGAATGTTCTTCTTACCTTTCTTCACCTGGCCAAGTCCTCATCCCTTAAATTGCTTAGGGATCATCTTTACGAAGCTTCCCTCAATTCTCTGGAAGGATAAATGCCTGTTTTGCACACAGTACATTTTCTAATCATGGTACCATATTGTCTTGAAATTATTTGTTCAGTTATCCCAATCTTTCCTGCCAAATTAGAAGTTCACAAAAGGGTAGAACAATATCATTATCCAAGAACTTTCATATTTACCACTTGGTGTATATAGTACTAGGCCAGTAATGAAGGAAGAACTGTGTGTTGAATTTATTTACATAAATAAAATGTATAGGTGAGCAAGTAACATATCTCTACTACTCAATGATTTCAAGAGGGAAGGTCATTACTGTGTCTCACTTAATCTGAGAATGTAACCCATCACATAATACACCTTAGGTAACAGTGAATAAAATAAATTTATTATATTAGAGGAGGGAAATGTGTTCAATTTAGTTCAAAGAAATATAACATGCTAAGGCAGTGAATCTTTGGGAAATAATTGGAGAAACAAACAAGATAGCAAGAAGAAGCCTTCAGGCTTACAACCATTTGACTGCAATAATGAAGCAAGTTAAGAACCCAGTTGAAGTTCAACCAAAATATAGGATCAAGAGTCTGGCTGAACTACTGAGTCTTCAACCTCCACACATTATTGACATTATAATAAGGAGAATCCCATGTATATAAAGTAAACATAAATCAGGTGCCAAGCAACTGGTGGTCTGACAAATTGCACCTTTGGAGGAGGCCTGAGAGCAATTCTGATGGCATGTTGTAGCTGACATCAGTGCCCCTTCCCACTTACCCTCAGCAGTCATCTCTACCCACAAAATACTGTTTACTGGGAACACTCACAACTCCATGCCTGAAGACTTGTTCAGATCACAAGGGCATGGAGCTCCTGTGCATAGAACTATTTGGAAGAGACAGAGAGCCAGTGTACCAGAACCAGCCCTCAACCAATGCCGAAGAGGCACTGGTTCATAAATATGCCAGATTCCTGTTTTCTTGACTGGGTAACTCTGAGGTGTGTTCTATACTGTGTCCTACAGTTATCTAGTGAGGTTGAGCTCTTGTTGTGCACAGTGGAAACTGGCTTAATGACACCTTCTTTTTGCCTTACATCCCTTTCCTGGTTCACTTCTTCACTTCCCTGTCTGTGTTTTCCAAGACGATATCCTAAATAACTTGATCTTGAATCCTTATTTCAGGGCTTGCTTTTAGGGGATCTCAAATCAAGGTAGGTATGTATGGTGGACAAAGGGCAAGTTTAAAAAAGGATGGCTTTGATTTATAAATAGAAGTTTCTAGCTTAAGAATTATTTGGCAACCCCAGGCTTCATGCAATTCCCACTGATATGGCCACAGTAAACTAAACACTTTTGTGAATCCACATTTCCTCACTTGTTCTATCACACATCCATCAATTCATGGAAATACTGTGGCCATATCCTTTGTTTAATTGACATCTTAACTGCAAAGCTGTCAATGAAAATTACAATCAGGACAGAAAAATAATTTTACTTCTAATGAAAAAAGAATATATTATAAATTGATAGATGGGTTTCATAAACTCATTTTGCCAAAATAATAGGAGGAAGGAATGATTTTCTTAGCTATAAGAGTACCAAAAGACCTTTGTTTACGAGAGCGGGAGATATCAAAGAGACAGAAATCAGAGAGAGAAATCAGAGAGAGAATTCAAAGAGAGAGAGACCAAAGAAAGATCAGAGAGAGATAGGAGAGATCAGAGAGAGAGAGAGAGAGAGAGAGGTCAGAGGGATAGAGAGAGAAAGAGAGGCAGAGTGCCAGTGCTAGTGTGAGGGAGAGCAGGAGTGTGGGACAGTGTGGGTGCCAGCAAGAAAGTGAGCACATTCGCATGCACACATAAGAGTATGCGCCAGAGTGAGCATGCATGCAAGGGTTTGTCCTGGGGATGCAAGTGAAGACTAGCTTGAATAGCGTGGTCTCTGCTTTTGGATCAGAGCTAACCAAAACATCTTCAGAAGCTTTGCAGAGATGATGACAGTCAGTCCCAGACCTCTGGAGAGCAGTGGAAAATATCTGGATGAAACCATATGTTGGTATATGTTTGGGTAGGGGAGGAAGAAGAAGGATGAGAAATGAGTTTGTTAGGAGAATGTAGAGGTCCCATGGTAAAATGCTTACCATATCCTCCAATGTCATGATAGAAATGCTGCTGAAAAAACAGAATCATCCTTCATTTTTTTACTGAACAGAGCAAATTTTAAGTTCAGTTCCATTTTTTCCTTTATGTTTTTTTAGAGGACTCTGTTAACATCCTGCCCAGATTCTCTTCAACTCCTTGGACAGCTCTTTGTGTTCATGCCTAGTTTTTGAGTGTTTTTCTGTTAATAGTTTGCACTTGTGACCTTAGCAATCTGCCCTTCAGCACTAGGGCTAGAGTCCTAGAAATGCCTTGGAGTGTGTCTGTCCAAACTCGTATTAAAGTTGTCAGATAAAATACAGAACTCCTAGTTGAATTAGAATTTCATATAAACAAAATAAGTTTTAGTATAAAATATACAAATATTTATATAGTATATTTATATAGTATACGAATGAACAAGGAACTCCATATTGCCTCTTTATATAGATGGTCCAGCAGAAGTAACGCCTGCTTGAGTGTGGTTGGTAGGGTAATAATATGGGTGTAATAACGTATCATTTTAATTTGAACATTTCACCTAAAATGTCATATGGTGTACTTGAATGTGATATTGTTATATTACAGAACTACACACTTATGATTTCATAATAAAAGACTTTATAATAAAAAGGGGCATTATTTGGGCCAGACCCTGTATATAATGTCCTTCTTACATGATAGCCTGAAGTGTAAGCCAAGATGGCTCATCGTGGAGTTCCTGAGACCTTGAACAAAAATAGCAGCGTTAAGCTAGTTGCTTATCATCTCTAACTAATGCATATTTTTTTTGTGTGGGAAACAACATGGGGCTACCCCAAGGGAAGTCAAAGGTAACTATTTCAATGACAAAGGCTAACATGGTTTAAATTTTATCATAAAGGAAATATATCTATATTCTTGAAAATTTGGAAAATACTGAATATGGTGATGATCTTTTGATAATGGATAAATTATTTATTTTATGTTTCCATATGTTTTTCTGTGCAGTTTTACATAAAGTGACACTAATTTAAAGAAATGTTTTGGGGGGAAAATCAGGTATAGAGAGTCTCCATGAAAAAAAAACACCCAACACTCAAAACAGTGTCCTCTCTAAGGGATTTGTGTTCTATACTCTAAAATGAATAACAAGAAAATGCAATTCTGCTTGCAGAACCTAAGGAGGTTTTACTTCTTGGCTTTGCAGAGGTACTATAGTTCCAAGCAAACAAAAGGAAGTTGACATTTGGAAGAGTCAAGGAAACATGAAGGTAGACAGACCTTTTCTCTCATTGCTGCCTTTGAAAATACAGTAATCTGAAAGTTAGCCTTAACTTATGCCCCAACAAGATAAAGAAAATCAAGCTTGATATGAAATGACTATGCTCTTGGCTATCTTTCTATTTCTCTTTACATTGCTTGACGAGGTGACACCTCTGTACATAGAAGATTCTCACTTGACCCCACTGATAGCAAGTTAGAGGAGGTGGAACTAGAAAGAATTTGAATTTATGGAAAATCTCTAAGGTAGTTCAAATGATGTTAGTAATTGTTTAAAAGTTACAAGGGGAATGTACATGACACTTAGGGCTTTCTTTTTCAGAAGGTTAAACAGAAACAGATCAATAAATCAATGAAAAGAATTTATTTTCCTTGTACATCCCCTTTTGAATTGCAGCCCTGAATCCCAAAACATAAAGTCTCATCCCTGCAGTTAACACAGATTATTTCAATAGCTGTAGTTCCAGAAGAAGTATAAGTGCTTTTCATTTCAATTAAAAAATGTCCTCCTGGTTTTTCACACTGTTTTTAGGGGTTCTCCAAGAGACAATACTTTACAGGCACCTAGAAGCACTGTTTGGATGGAAATACATCAACCTTAACCTCAGGTATACCATTGTCCAATCTGCATATGTCTTACCTGTCTGAACTGGGGGCTGACTTTAAGTACCGAAAATTGTGGCTATCTAAGTCCACACTGTAGCTCCGCCCACTTTCAGTTTTTGGTGTTATGATGATTTCTCCTCTTGTTGCTGATCTGAATTTGCTAAGAAGAAATCTGAAAGTATATAAATAAATATATTTAAAAGATAAAAAAATCATTTTAAAATATAATTTCAAGAATACCATTTCTAGTATTTTCAACAGGAAATGATTGGCCTTGGGACTGAGAGGTTGTGGGGAATTCCTGTGCCTCTACAATATAGTGTGAAGGGTGGTGGTAGAAGAGGTTATGACAGTCTTCCTAGGCCATAACACCTGCTGATAAGCCAAGCCTCTCTCCACGTTAAGAAAAATACCACCGACTTTGGGAACTCACCACTGTCACTTGAGAATGGAGAAGCACTACCTGTACTGAGTCTGTTTACAGGAGTGCTGAGAATAAAGAGCTTGAATTCACTTTGCTAGACAGGGGAGCTCCGATGATTCCCTGGGACAAACTAAGGTGTAAGTTTTTTAGACTGCAGTTCCATGACAGCAGTAACTTTGACCTTCTTAATTCCCTGAGCATAGAGGAATGTCTGGCAAATACTAGAATCTAACCGATTCCTGTAGAATGAGTGACTAAACCCACGTGGTGAGAACCATCTTTATATCTTCCATGACATTTTCCCCTGTGGTAATGAAGTTTGAAAAATGGAGTATCTAATACAGGATGAAATCTGGTTGCATTTCACTAAATTATTTAGATCTTGAGCAAAAAAATAGCTTTCAGAAACCAAGATTCAAGTCAAGATCCAGGTATTGAATGCCCCAAACATGAGGGTTTTCAAATATACTTTGATAAAAACCAAAACTATATTATTTTTGTCATGACACTGGGAGAGTCCAGTTCATTTACTCAACATTCTACAATTTTCTAGAAGGGAAAACATATCCAAAGATAGTAGGACAGTCTTAACAGAATCTGCCAAGTTATCCTTGTTTCAAAGAGAACTGGAAAAGTGTCTTGTCAAAGTGTCAGAGCCTTCAATCTAACTGGAAAATTAGATTTGTTTTTTGTTAAGAATAGCACTTATTATACTGTCATCTTATGCTGCTCTGAGACCCACCTTATGCATGTCCCTACCTCTGAACTTCCACTTAAGGTGGTTCCTCCACCTTGGTTACTCTCCTCCCTTTTTGTTATCTTGGACCCCAGCCATCTTTCAAAGACCTCATCAAGTCCCACTTACAATTTGATGTCTTCCCTGATGGCCTCTGTGCCCTCCTGACATTGATTACCTAAGCTGCTTATTTAATATTTACTTAATTATTTATTGCCTATGACATCTCTTGTAGTTAATTAACACCTTGTCTTGTTTTAGAAAGGTGTTCAGGCAGCTCATAGTATCATCTTATGTTTTCCTAAGTTTCTTCTATACATATTAAATTTTCAGGTATGTACCTTTTCTCCTCATCCAGGTGTTTATATTCCTTGAATACTGAGAACCATCAGATCTCAATTTTGAGTTCCAACAGGGCTCAGTACAGTGCTATGACTATTTTTTAACAATTCAGGCTGTATATAATTCACTGTGCTGGTGAGTTGCTTATTTTCTCGAAGCTCTACATCCAACATTCTGCTGTAACCTACACAGTGATGTCTAAAGTGGGGTCTGCAAAGTACAGCTCCTAGAAGCAGTTGTGGGCTTTGAGTTACTCATTCCATAGAATCTTTGTTTTTGATGAGTCAGGCACCATGCTTTAGGACAGAAGCAAACCACCACGGGCCCAGCACTAAGGGAGCTTACAGTTAAGTGTGGGGTGAGTCAGAGGGGGAATGTCAGAATGCAATGCAAGGAATGATGAACAGGCACAAGGCATTGTAGGAGTCCTAAGAAGTGACAAATGAATGCAACATGGTAGAAAGAATCAATACACTGGATGTATGGTCACTGTAGGCTATCTTTTCCATTCATTTCTGTTAATTAATGAAGGCATGGCTACTCATGACACCCTAGCTGGTGTGGCTCAGTGGAATGAGCGCCAGCCTGCAAACCAAAGGGTCGCCAGTTCGATTCCCAGTCAGGGCACATGCCTGGGTTGCCAGCCAGGTCCCCAGTAGGGGGGGGTGCACTGGAGGCAACCACACACTGATGTTTCTCTCCCTCTCTTCCTTCCTTCCCCTCTGTCTAAAAATAAACAAAATCTTTTTTGAAAAAGACATGATTAGTCATGAGTATTCGAGTTAATGGATATTTAGGTTTCATTCCTACTTGCAGTTCAAGATTCAAGAAACAAAAAAGACTTTCTGTAGAGCCAGATAAAATCTCAAACACTGGCAGCCTCTCACATTGATTTCTGCTGGCTCAGCAATGCACTGCTACCTGGAAAGGACCATAAAATGATTTGGTGCATACTAGGACTCTCACTACCTCAGCTACAAAGCTAACCCAACAGCTGCCTGAGAAACAAAACAGCAGTTTTCGTTTTAGTCCTTATAGTCAGCATTTGGGGGGCCACTTCTCTCCCTTGATGGAACCCTTTTGCCCCCAGTTCCCTAGTGTTTCCTTGAATCTTGCTTCCCAATGTGCCTCCAATTTCTGTTTTCAGTGGCCTCCCTGACACATAATTTGCTTTTGAATTGTTACTGAGATAACCAAACTTGATTTTGTTTTCCTTAAGGAAGCTTGAATTTTAAACAGAGGATATAATGTTTTCAGCCCAATTAATAAGTCTTTGATTTGGACATCTCATATATCAACACTCAGGATGGGAGGAAGGGTTTTGACATTCTACAACAAAAGCAGTCATCACCTCTTTATAGACAAGACTGGCCCTGACATGAAACCTTCTATCTAGAAGCAATGAGAACCACTTGGTACAAGACTGGATATGTCAAATGAAAGAAAAACTCTTACATGTTCAGGTCAGCGAGAACCTTTATTCACCTAACACCAAAAATAATTAAAACTGCATTTTCTCAGGAGAATGACGGGGGAGTATTTGCTTGGCTGAGTCTCTGACCTTCTCAGGGTCACTGTAGTGACATCAGACTTCAAAAACTAAGGAGTCTTTATTTTAGAGGTGTCTGGAATAAAGATAAAAAATTCTCTTTGCATAGCCTGTGTCTTACCCTTTTCTCCTGGGACCATCATGGCTGGCCTTCTGCCCAGAAGAAGGTGAAGTGTTTGACTTTTCTGCATCCTGGTGGTTTTTCTCTTGGCTTTGTATTTCTTCAGTTCCTCATTAAAAATAATCAGAAAATAAATTTACATACCAAATGGTTAGAAATGAGAACGATTGTATATTCTTTATACACTTTCCTACATTAGCACAGGACAAAGAAGTCTATAATAATTGGCAATGATATTCCCATTCTAAAATTTCCAGTCACATAGTTATTTCAAATTAGTTTAGCATTCCAGAGTTAAATGAGGAATAACATCAGGACTCATCTGTGATAGGTTTGTTGAGATAAGCTTTCTAGGGATGGCTGCAATGGAAGAACAATGCATCACCCCTCTACAGGTATCTTTAGGGTAGAGGAGCCTGGGTTGATGAGAACTCCAAATCCTTAGAGACTGAATTTAGGATAAAATTCTAGAAATGACACTCTGGTTTCTAGTACATAAGCCAGATTTAATGGGAGAGTGAGTATCTGTGAATACACCTCATAACTTGAGAGCCATTTTACACTCTGTAAGGTACTGAGGTTTGAGTAAAAGAAGCAGCCATAGCTAACTGCTTAATTCGAACTCTACTCCATTCTGCCCCTTTGTGTCATCAGACCTGATCTTACCTATCTGAGGCAGCCCTTCCTTGCTAGTGCCACATCCAGAAGTGGCACTGAAATCAGTTTCAAGCCTTCCAGCCCTTCCTGCCACACTTCAAAACAAGGGAATTAGTCTCCAGTATGTGAAATATCAGATACCCTAAGAACAGGCCAGAAGATGCCTGCTCTACCTTTACTACACCACACACAAGAAATATGCTCTTAAACACAAGTTGCACTCAATATTTAACCAATTAAATTGTAGTTTGAATGCACAGAGTAGCATTCTCAGGGTGGACTGTTATTTTCATTTGATGACAGTATGATTCTTCATTGAGTGAAACTGTTCGGTGCCTTTCAGACCATGAAACATCTCTAGCACCTGCTAGCTAAATGCTGTTAACCTCCCCACCTCTCAAGTCATTGAGAAAACCAGAAATGTCCCCTTGCACTTCTAAATGGTCCCCTGACTTGGGGAAGGGGGAAAATACACAGTATTATCCCTTGGTTGAGGATTGAGAACAACTGCATTAGAAAGAGTAACATTTTTTTAAAACCTGAAAAAATTTTTTGTTGAAAAATCAAGGATTGCTTTCACAATGTGAATCATTTAATTAATCTGTTTTGTGTTAATTCCTTAAATGTTTAGTAAAATATTGGAAGTGCATTCAGTAAAAGAACTGTCTATGATGAAGATGAATGCTTCCTTTAAAAGTCTCAGTGTATCAGATATATGGAAAATCACTGTGTATTTTTTCTACTCACTTCCTCTTTCCTTGTATGAATTGCAAATTTAGATTTCATGTTTTGAAAGGACCTAAAAGATTCAGGAAATTCAACTGTGCTCATTTGCTACATAAGATAGGGAAGTTATTTAGCCAGCCAAAACACAGATTAGAACAATTTTGAAACCAAATAATTGCTTTAATTACCTGGATTTCTTCTTAAGATGGACTGTCGGACAACATCTGTCCCTAGAACATTGGCTTGCTTGAAACGTTTTGCCTTTTCTTCAAAAAACCATTCACCAGTTACAATCCTTAGCTGCCTAAACAGAGCAAAAGGGGAGAACACTGAAATTCAATTAGCCAAATTGATGACCCTCAAAAAGCCATAACTAAGTAAAAAATAGCTAGTTATTTAAAGAGTCCACCTCAATTTCTGGAGTACTCTATGATGACGATAATGACCAGTATTAGTTGAATACATACTATGTACCATGTACTGGTAATTGTTCTTCATATTTAATATATTTCTATCCACATAAAAACTCTGTATAAACACCCTGGTAGGTGTGGTTCAGTGGATTGAGTGCCAGCCTGCGAACCAAAGGGTTATGGGTTCGATTTCCAGTCAGGGCACATGCGTGGGTTGTGGGCCAGGTCCCCAGTAGGGGGCACACGAGAGGCAACCATACATTGATGCTTCTCTCCTCTTTCTCCCCCCCTTTCCCTCTCTAAAAAATAAATAAATAAAATCTTTAAAAAACTCTGTATAAACATTATTATTCCCATTTTACAGATGAGAAAACTGAGATTTAGAGCAATAAAATAGCATGTCTCACATTACATAGCTTGTAAGTAGGAGAAGTAGGATCCCATCCCAAGCAGTCTGGCCTAGGGCTTGAGGTCTTAACTACTGCATTAGTGGGTAAATAATTTTCAGTGGAAACAGTGGGGGACAAGTGAAAGTTTTGAATCACAAAGGGGCAATAGATAAGAGAGAGATAAGACTCTCTTTTAGAATGATACCTTACTGTAATATGATGACTGGGTTAGAGTAAAGAGAAAATGGAACAAAGGGACAGGTTAGCCTTGGCAATAGTCCAGGAGAGAGATGACAAGACCCATGTTAGGGAAATGGCAAGACTAACAGAGAGGAGGACATAAATTAAAAACATAGCTGTTAGAAGGGCTTGACTGGATTTCACAACCTATTGAATGTTGAAGGTAAAGAAGAAGGATCTTTGAATAATCAAACATACCTTTTAAGCCCCCCCTAATAGTTACAAAAACCCTTTACCCTAGTTACACAGGCCTATGTTCCATTCTCAGAAGATGGCCCTTTTCTATTGGGACAACAGTGTTCACCAACTACTGTCCTAACACTTTTATGGAGGGCTCTAATGGAAAAGGAGGTTGAAAGATAAAATGGAGTCATATGATGAGAATCTCTGAATGTCATGCCAAGGAGCTGGAATACCATTCTGGAGGGAATGTAGGAATTCAGGCAGTTTTTCTAAAGTTCAGGTTGGATCATATAATCTGTGGAATATTATATGAAGAAAGGAGAAACCAGAAGCAGGCAGGCCAATTAGGAAGTTATGACAAAAGATGGGGTAGAAAATTATGAAGATGTAAACCAGGGTATCATAGAGGCAAAGGGTGAAAAGAAAGTTGTAAATATTTTTGTGACTGAGGATGAGTATCAGCAAGGCTGGTGACATATTTATCATGGTGGTTGAAGAAAAGCATCTGAGAGTCAAGTAGAGATTTCTAGGCCCAGAATATTATATCTATGTGATTCAGTAACTAATTGGACTTAGAAAATCACAACTGGATCCTGTAGAGGAGAGAGGGGAGGGGGATAATGGGAGAAAGAAGGGGAATGGTCAAGCCAAGGAACATGTATAAAGGATCCATGGACAAGGATAACAAGGGGGAGGATTGAATGTAGGGGACGAAGCAAGGCAGGGGAGCGCAATGGGAGGAAAATGGGGACAACTGTAATTGAATAACAAAAAATTTTTAAAAAAATTCTCCAGAAAAATATACCAAATTTCTCCCCACAGCATTTACCCTGAAATCCTACCTTACTTCTGAACATAGGAGACAAAAGTCACTGATATATAAAAAGTACTGATATATAAAACAGTTCCTGTACTGAGAAAAGAATGAAAATACTATTATTGGAGCAAATTATTCATTGAAAAGAATGGCCATAGCATGTACATCTCAGATTTACTCCAAAGTTGCAAGATCACCTAATGAGAATCAAGGATTATTAAATCAACTCCAAACTGTATAAAATGTGCCTATGAAAGATGTCAAATATAAGAAGATCTAAATAACCAAAACCAAATGCTTGAATGGGTTAAATTATTTCTGCATACATCTCAAGTGCTCTATAGACTTACATATCATTATTTATGTTGAAAATGTAGGTGGTAATTGTGCTATTCTAAATTCTAAAGCTATCTCCTCAAGGTTTCTATCCCTTAGTTATTCAACCAAATGCTTATCTAGCTACTGCTATGATTAAACTTTGCTGATGAAATTAAAGTTTCTAATCAGGGAAATTGTTCTAGAGTATCTGGGTGGGCCCAAAGTAATCACTAAGCTCTTAAAAACAGAGGAATTGGTGATTGTTGGGGGGAGAGGGTATAAGGGGACTATATGGTAATGGAAAAATATAATAAAGATAAAAAAATTTTAAAAACAGAGGAAGGAGAGGAAGTCAAATGCTAAGATGCTGTAGAATTAGAGAGATTTTAAATGTGAAAAAGATTTGACACTCTGAGACAACTCTGAGTTATAGAGGTCCACATACAAGGACACAGAGACAGGCCTCTAGGAGTTCAGGCTGGCTCTTAGCTAATAGCCAACAAGGAAGTGGGAGCCTCATTCCTACAACCACAAAGAATCAGATTCTACCCCCCAAAATGAACTTGAAAGTGGAATTTTCCCAAAGTCTCTTTATAAGAGCTCAGTTGGCACATACCTTCATTTCAGCCTTGTGAACCTTGAGTAGAGAATCAAACAAAGCCAAGCCCAACTTCTGAGCTATAGAACTGTGAGATAATATATTTATGTTTTTTTAAGCTGCTAAACTGTGAGAAGTTGTTATGGTGGCAATGGAAAATGAACACAATAATAAAACACAAAATTATAATTTTTTTTAATACTCAGTTTAGAAAATGACTTGCACAGCTTATGAGAAGATAACTATGGAAAATTCAGAAAAGCAATAGGGCAGAAGTAGGCAAACTGTGGCCTAGGGACAAAATTCACCCAACTACCTGTTTTGTATAGCCTACAAGCTAGGGATTTTTTTAAAGTTTTAAATGGTTGGAAAAAATCAAAAGAAGAATATTTAATGATTGGTAAAAGTATATGAATTATATTAAAAATCCATTGTCCCTAAATAGTTTTATTTGAACATAGCAATGTTCATTTGTTTCTGTATTTTCTTTGGCTGCTTTTCTGCTACAACTGCAAAGCTGAGTGTAGCATATGGCCATGAAATCTAAAATATTTTCTCTCTGGCATTTTATATTTTAAAAATTTTGTCAACCTCTGCAATAGGAAAAAGAGTGTACACAAAAAGAAACAAGAACAAGAGGAATAATATAAACCAGTGGTTGAAAAACCCCATGGTGGCATGCCAAAATCTCAGCTCTTTTTAAGAAAATTTTCTTGAGATATGGGGTGAGGTGGATAGCACAATGAGAGCAGTTTCACATGTGACAGGGGAAAAAGGGACATACCTAGTTTACCCACCCCAAGAAATGAGTCTCCATATCATTTTTTACCGTCTACATCTAGAACTGCCAACACCTAACACAAATAAGATCTTCCCAGAATTATTAGTCATTATCTTTTGCTATTCTTGTAAGAACACTAACTATAATCCTTTTGTTTGCTCAACTCAGATACACACCTGAGTCATTTGTCATTTCAGAGATCTATGACATAAGAACAATCTTTTGAAATTTTGCCTTTGCCATCTTCTCAAGTCATGGAGGTAGATGGACAGCTTAGTAGAAGAATGAGAAACAAATACCTAATGAGTTTATACCATGTAACAAGTAAAGTGCTAGGTTATTTACATATGATATCTTTAACCCTCACTATAAGCCATAGTAGCTATTATTAGTCTTAATTTATGGATGAGGAAACCAAAGCTCACAAGGGTTACATGATCTGCCCAAACTTGTATAGATACTATGGCAGAAACAGAATTTATACTGAAAGCCCATGCCCTTTATGTTTGATAAAACTGTCAGATGAGAACTCATACTTTTCAGCTATAATAAGGCCTTGGGTAATGGTGAAAGCTTATAGGAGCCAAGGAATAACATACAGCATTTCATATAATGGGCTGTGATTGTGTTTGTGTGTGTGTGTTGGGGGCAAAATATAGGAATAAAGGAGGGGTAAAAGAGAAAACAAAGTAAACATGACAACCAAAGTAAAATTTATATTCCTCTCTGCCACATTGATCTGACATTTGAAAAATACAAGGCTTTGAATAGACTTAGTATTTCCTCTAGGTCATACTCTGAAGAATGAGTTTGACTGAAATTGAGTTACACTCATTATTTATGATTAATGATTACCAAGTATTCAGAATTTTCTTAAGTCCTAATTTTCTTTAACTTTAAAGTTTTGGGATGTCAGGCTTTCACTTGGAAGCTTACTTAAATATAAAATAAACTTAAATTCTCCTTATATTTATAGGAGAAAAGTACCCTTTGCCCTGAAATTTCATTCCTAGGTCCACCCCCTACAGGAGTCTTCTCAAACATTTTTGGCAGAGGTCACAGTAAGAAACACATTTTATATCACAATCCAGAAAATAAACACACGGACTTATATATTTACATATTAATATATTTACATTTATATGTGAATGCACATGGTGGGGCAAAAGTAGGTTTATAGTTGTCAGTATGCAAAGCAGAATTTATTCTTATATTGTTTTTATTAATTATTATATTTTCCATAGAAACAAATCTACTTTAGCCCCACCCTGTGTACCACATTTATTATTACACTTATACACACATATAAATATATGTATACTGACATTTTCTATTTCATTTCCTTTTTTCTCAAATGAAAAACCTACCAATTGGTCATGACCCACAGTTTGAAAAGCCCCACCCTTGGGAAAGTCTTGTACATATTTGTCAGGCCACATGAACAAGAATGTTACAGCATCATTTTGTACCATAAACTGAAACTACATAAAGATCCATCAACATAAATATATAATATATATATATATTATAGGATGATATGGTGAACATGAATGTAATGGTGTTAA